ACTACGTCGGGAATTGGAAGTAGACATGAAAAGGATGAATAACAACTGGAAAGAATTTCCCAATACAGGGTTGGATGGAGAATGGTGGTGTACGGCCTATGCTCCTTCATGTGGGGTAACAGGTGTAAGTAAGTAGTTTCATGTGTTTACTTATTACTGTACACTAGATTAAACCTATTGCTTCTGTATACGGAAGCAACCAGAGTTCCGTTCAGTCCTTTAACCAGTACACAATGAGTCACAAGCCCAAATTAGTTGATATAATGTCATGCAATGTAACATTTTTCTTCATTTAACCTTTTGTTTTCATGATCGTATAACAATCCATATGCTTTATATGATAATAAATAATTATAATCAGAATGGTGTTTATGGATATCGTGGTAATTCTAATAGGGCGAAACGGCCGACCAGAGTTTTTAGGTTTTTAATGGTTGTCAAGCTTATATTGACTCATGAATTCAATTATTAAGATTACTACAATCTCCATATATCACGTTCTGATCATCATCATCATCATGTGCTCACTAATGACTGGCTCCAAGATGGTTTCCTCGAGTTGCCCTGAGAAACCGTGATCAATGGAGTTTGACTGGTGTCAGGTAGAAACAGGTATCTACCTCAGACATTGGATGAATGATTGTGCAGCTATTCATGGATCGATTGAAGTTAGACATTAACACCACTGGATGCCAGTTTATTGGTCTAGAAGTTAAATGTTTGCAACACATGAATCAAACTATTAAAATAAAATAATTAAGTAGTCAATGGTTGAAGCCAAATTTTGTCAAGAAATCAAAAGAGAAACCATTAGAAATCTGGAAACACTGAAGGAATGTTTAACCGTAATCAGGAATGAAAGGGATATCCATCAATTGTATTGGATGATGTTGTACTGTATCATGAATCAATTGGCTTTGAAGGTATGAACGTGTGATTATGACCTCAGTGGTTTAAAAATAACGCTTGAGTGATAGTCTTGTCAATATATACAGATATCAATAAACCTTAATTAGAATTAACAGTATATATTAACCAGAATAGAGTAGGTCGGTGATTCCTGGTTGACGTTCTAATATCTACGTGATGTAACAAGCGTTATCAAGTGGTCAATATCCACTTCTATACTTAAACAACAAGACAATGTGCGCATCCAGTGAGCAGTTGTCGGCTAGCTATAATCAATTTGTGATGTTAACTCCAAAATCTAATTAATTCTTTACTAAAAGTTAAACTACTTACAAGTAGTAAAAGTGCTTTACAAAAATATTGCATTCTGAATGCTATTTTACGGCACAGGAAAAACGTTATGACCGTTCGAAGTAGCCCGCGCTTTCGTTTCAACGACCTTGAACAGCCTGACAAGAGGCGGTCATTCCGTATTTGTATTGCCGTGGGTTGGTTGGGTTTCATGAGTGTCAAGTTTTTTCATAATTATTTCATGTTTTGCTGCATTGAAAAGCAAAAAATAATTATCAAACGCATTATTCTAGCATTCTCTTTCTTGTAGTGTACACGTTGGCTCTGTTGCTGCTTCGTAGTTTGATCTGTGGTCCTAACTGCTGTAGTAAGCCTCTACGAAATGTCAAATCAACGGCAAATCCTAATTATTTGTAGTTCTTCCTTGAGTTATTACTGTTTCAAGGGATTATTTTTTTATAAACAGTGATTTCCGTTTGTAGTGCTTCGTGGTCAAGCGACATTTCAGTCGACCTTAGCGAACCTTTTCAAAGTATGATACTGAACAAGCGTTTTGCATACTGGGATGACTTTGATAACGCCCTAAAAGAGTTCCAAAAAGTATGGAAGAGTGATTTTATCATTTCTCAGACTACGTGCAGTCATTACATCCACGCAGAAAGCAGGTTGCTGAAGGATGTCAGGTTCAAACACCTGTTTGTTGCTTTTCATTGTACATTTGGTCATAAGCGGAAATCAGAAGGTTTGAAAGTGAATCAAAAATCGTGAGAACTTTAGCTAATATGTGACGTTTAAGGTCTAAATTCCTTAATTGTCAATCAAAGTTCCGTGTAAGACTGGAGGCGGAAGGATATGTCATCAAATCCTACAAGATGCTCCACAATCATCCATGTAGTAGTTCATGGATGGTTTGTGATCCATGGACAAGAAGATTATCGTCCGAAGAAAAAGAGAATTTAAAGCCAGTCATTTTGCAGTCGCAGTCAACTGATGAAATTGTGGAATGTGTCAAGGAGAGAACTGGTAAGGTGGTCACTGTTGTTGATGTCAAGTCTATGAAAGCTGAACTCTCCACAGGTTTCTGTGGGATATGAGGCCGGAGACTGGGTGTCTATTGTTGATTGCGGGAAGCATTATGCAGTGGATGTAAATACTTTTGAATGTGAATGCAGTACATTTCTTATGTGTCGATAACCATGCCGCCATCTGCTACTCGTATATTTTAAAAGACGAACTCTTTCAGGTAAGCTATATTGATTTTGAAATATAAACTGTATAGCTAATGAACTTCTTAGGTACTGCAGGTGGAAGTTACGTGTTACCAATAACTTGCAAAATGACACATCAATAGCGCTATCGACACAAAGAAATGAGTATATAAGTGTTCTGCGAAGCCAAAAAATTAACAGGCGTCATATCCTATGGAAGTATGGTGAAAGTTTCGCAACGGAATTTGAGAAGAAAGTGAACAGTTATTATTTAAGAATTATTAATGATAACCTGTAAACAAGTTTTTATGCTAAAAAGTTAAATAAACTACTTCATAATTTTCGTTTTCCTCTTATTCCTTCGTTGTTGGGGATATTGTCCACGAGTCAGTGTCTGTAAGAATTAAGAAGGACGTAAAGTCTTACTGAATAGGCATTCATTATATTTCGTGGTTTCTTCTCAGCTGTTTACAACGAAATGTGCATTACAATTTAACATTTAGGTATGAAGTAGTTGATATAAGTAAATATAAATAGTTGGAATAACGTAGGTCATCAATAATAACAATGTACATATGCATATATGCAGGCCAAAGGTCATTTATTTATAGAACAAAGGATACATTAAGGGTGGGTGGGTCGAGTAGAGTTCACAGACGGATAAGTGGTTATAAAGGATCCTTGCATTTAAAAATTGATAAGTTGGGTTACGTAGAATTTGAATAGGACCAATTAAGCGTGTATGAGTGACAGGGTACTTTAACAGATCGCTATATAACTGTAAAAAATGAAATGAATTATTACGTAACCCATCTTATTACTTGCTAATTCCGTGAATTATAATGCATTCATATTACTCTGCATCAATATTTGTTCTAATATCATATACACTGTTTTTACATACTTACACGATTTATAATGTAAAACACTGAGTATAGTTGTGATATTTACAATACTGAGAAACAAAAAATCAGTCTTGAAACAAACAATTAAGCTTACTTAGCCGTATCATATTCATTACGTTTATCAAATAGCAGGTAACAGAATGTACCTATAAATCTCTTATTTGCAACACTGTTATTCATAACAGATTTCGGATTCCGTTAATAGAAATTCATCGGTAATCTGCAGAACATATCCAGAAAATCATATTACTGTGAACGCTTCACAGTCTCAAATGCCATGGTACGAAGCATCTCCTCACGATGCTCCACTGCCTTGTGGGTCAGACGTTCAGGTCAAAGGCTCGGGGTGTGGTCCCCTAAGAAAACCACCTACTTCGGTCTGGGCACCTGGGCAGTATCACAGCCGTCACACAAATCAATTGAGATTTGTGTGGCGCATATGTATTTGGTGCCTCCCTGTACCTATACTTATGTGTTAAAATAATAATAATAATAATCACAGTCTCATGACATTTCTTTATACCAGGTATGTGATTTAAATGAAATGTTATTGGTTTCAGTATTAACTAGGAGATGGTTTTGTCACCATGCCCAAAAGAAACAATCAGTGCACTTTATTCACAAAATATGGAATATATCCTAAAGAAGAATATAAGGCGGAAAATACTTTGGGAATAGAATGACTTACATCCAGAAGATTATTGGGTAAAATCCAGATCAAAGTAAATAGTAACATTTTTAAAGTCGCTAGACTTATTACTATAGTCAGTTATATAGTGACTCTATATTCGCCTGTAAATAAAGATTTTCCTTTGATTGACAAAACTGACCAAACCAGAAATAAATAAGACAGTAGTGAAATATACTTGACGGAAAATGAACCGGAGCACAAATGGGGACGACACTCAATCACCTAGTAACCAACATACAGATTGATAGCTAAGTATAATTTGTCTGTATCAGAAGTATTTTGGTTTTGAAGCTCACTATTGTAATGTTTATGACAACAATGAGTATATCAAACGATATTTTCAGACAAAATAACCATTTTCATACACATTTACATATATTTTGGAAGAAGATATCTTAAGACTATCTTTCAAAAGAACGGCTACCCAATCAACATCAAAAGATATCAATCCAATGCATCAAGCCGAACCAAAATGAAGTAGAGAAACCAACAAACGGAATATTTAACAATATATATATAAGACATAAGAAATTATAACGACATTATTGGAGCCGTTCGGAATAGTTATAGTACACAACCTTGCCCAAAAGAAACAAATCGTTTTACTTATGAACACTTTGTGACTACTTAATGTGACACTTCCAGTGGTGCTATATACTGTTCCTGTATACGTTCAGAAACCGGACGGAAATGACTATCAACGTCAATTGTTACTCACATAATTCTTCTCATATGAGTTACATAATACTATGTCATTTAAGTAAAAAGCGATGATACTTATAATAGGTATAACTGTTTATGACTAAATATTAACAAGTTATATAATATTCATAAATGGATTAACGCTTAATTGCTTGTTCCTTACACTTTATAAACAACTACAAACATCCATGTTCATCATCACCACAATAAACGAGGTGAACCATATGTAGTGTTTAAGAGCTTATTTCCTTGAAAACTTAATCTGTGACCTATTTTATAACTTGAAAAATGGTGAATCTTACTTGCTTGAGTTTGTATTGTTGCAAATAACCTAATTAGGCTTACTAAACAGTCACTTAGCTGGTAAGCAAATAATACGTCAAACTGCAAATAAATTCGAATAAAAACTATGTAGCAACTATAAACAATACAAAAAGGTACGTGAGATAGAAAAAAGCCTGTTAATAGTTGATAAATAATGACACAAAATATCCACGAGAATATGTTACACGTGCGCGAAAACCCATAACCTTACGGTCGTACTGTGCCCTATTTTACTAAGTTGTTGAATTGAAACAAACGAATATAGTCTTGTGTTTATTACAGAAACTGACTAATAATAATGTACATTTACATCCAGTCTATAGGATAGTGATCTAGAAATAAACTCACTTATATAGATTTTGGGTTCGACATAGGATTGTGAATGCACAATGCCACTGAAGTGTCCTACAATAGGACAAAACGACCAACCAGTACTTTCAGGTTTTCTATGATAATCTACCTTTAATTGATTTATGATCTTAACTATCATCATATCCACAAAAAACCCCATTCTGTTCTCAATAAAACGCTGGAGTTATATTCAATTACATATTTATTTAGTCAATCATATAGAAACTCTGTTAAACATTCACATTCTATCTGTCCATTGAGTAAATAGAATAAATAAATAAAAATAAATAAAAAATAATAATAATAATAATAAAAACACAAACAATGACATCATAATAAAGTTTCATTTTGAAAAAGGGAAATCTCAAAAATCAATGATCCTATGAAATACATACATACATACATACATACACACATACATACATACATATATACATACATACGTACGTACGTACGTACGTGCGTACATACATACATACATAGAATCAGGTAATGAAGTGAAGTGTTAAAAATAGGGTAACTCGACATATGTTGACCAATTTTGTTTTTGTTTTAACGTCTACAACAACAGCATAGAATATCCAGTAAACAACTACAAAAACCGTAACAACATAGACAGACTAGAAGGATAATGAGTCCCAAGATAACAGCACATATTGTAATAGTAATTGGCCACCAACTGTAATGGAAAAATAAAGTAACAATAAGATAAGTGATAAGGGTAAAAAGAACAAAATAGAATATCAGTTGATTAACTGATTAATCTGAAACGAATTGAATAAAGATTACCTAGTTATTTATTTAGTTACTTACACCTGTTAATCCTTATGGAGGAGCATAGGCCGTCAACCAGTACTCGTCATCCAACTCTATCTTAGATAATCCTTTCAAATTCTTTCTAGTTGCTATTTATCCTTTTTATGTCTGCTTTCGATTTTCGGTGCAGTGTGTTCTTTGGCTTTTTTCTTTTCCGTTTTATTTCACGATTCTAAATAACGGCTTGCCTCGTAATTCAGTTTAATGATTTGCATAATTTATGTCCTATGAGCTTGCGACAACTCTTCCTAATTTCTAGGTTTTTTTTCTCTACAGTATGGGCTGTTACTGATGATATTCGGATAATGGATATTGAGTATCTAGCATAAATAACTATTTATGAATACTTGTACCTTCTTGATGATTGTTGTGGTAGTAGTTCTCGAAGTTTCATCTCCATACAGTAGAACTATCTTGATGTTTGCACTGTAGCTGTTCTAGTGTTACTGCTAGTCGCAAGCCCGTGTAAAGAAGGAGGGTTGGGTATGGCGTTAGTGACCCCATCTCGTAGGAAACTAACTCGCTAACCAGAACAAAGATTACGTTATTTAATAGAATGGGAATTATAGATGTTTGAAATGCCGGCTATTGATCGCTTAACATGAAATCTAACGATCAAACATTCAAATTTGTATTTGAATATGGATAGATACTATTGAGAATTCCATGACTAATGATGAACATTTATTCAGGACTCATTCACTTATGCTCATCCATTACCAAATTTAATAATCTTCAACATTTGAGGTTTTACATCAATCAGAAACATTAAACAATTGTCTCATCCTAATACAAAAACTCCTCCTCAGTAGTGATGCATAACCGGACACTAAGAATAGAACTTAAAACATTCAAGTATCTATGGAAAGCGTTTAATCTTGATTTAAAATCTAATAATTAACATTTTCCACTTTTATCAATTTATGATACTGTCTAGCTATTTATCTCACCTCCTCATTGAGTGAATACCTTATAACCTCACTTTGTTATCAATGTAATGAAACTATAAAACTTTATATTCAACAATCCCTCCTTAATACCTTATCTGATATCTGATATTCAAAGTCTTATTTTTCGGAATATCCTTTATTTAGGGTGGATTGAAATGATAATTATACCTGGTTACTAGTTGTTTCAATGTTTATTTTCATGAAGGATACAGTGAGAACAATTGATCATGTTGAACTTAATAGGATACAAGTTACTATGCAAGTTTTGATGACATTTTATATTCGTAGTCTTTACCAAATTCAGTAAAGTACTAATGGGAACATTCATGGAATCAAATGAATATATATTATTTTAGTAGGTAGGTAGGTAGGTAGGTAGGTAGGTAGGTAGTGTAGAACTCTAGAATATTGACTAGTAACTATCATATAGCAGTCGGTCGAATATTGAACTTTCATAACTTGTTGTCAATAGAATACGTTCATATCCATATGGAGTTATCATTGTGTAGATGATTGTTTTACTGTTCAATTGATTATCTTCATCAATTTCAATACTGATAGTTTGCATCCATTTTATTAATCGATAAATGACTAAACTTCACTATTAATCAGATCTCAATAGGATGTTCAAGGAATGAGTAACAATGCATTTTCAATGATAACAATAAGTTTTATGGAGATTGTAGTAATTTTTAACAGTTGAATTCATGAAACGATGTAAGCTTGACAATCGTTGAAAACCTGAAAACACAGGATGGCCATTTCGTTCTAGTATAGGATTGCTAGATTCCGGCTCAGTGATCTAGAAGTTAAGCTTTGGTGAGTGAAACCGAAAGTTATGGATTCGAGTCCTCTTGCTGTGGGATCGTGAATACACACTACTGAAGAAACCATACTAGGTAAAAATGGTCGTCCAGTGTTATCAAGTTTTCCATGGTGGTCAAGCTTACATTGACTCATGAATTCAATTATTAAGATTACTACAATCTCCATATACCACGTCCTGAACATCATCATCATATGCTCACTAATGACTGGCTCCAAGATGGCTTCCTCGAGTTGTGTAGTGACAAGCCATGAGCACTGGAGATCAATTTGTTGCCGGGTAGCGAAAGGTATGGTCGCTCAGTCATTCATGGATCGATTAAAGTTAAACATTAACACCACTGGATGCCGTCTCAGTGGTCTAGGAGTTAAACGTTTGAGCGTTAGTCTGTAGGTCCAGTATTCGAGTCCATTTCATGTTGGATCGTAGATGGTCACTTCTGAGGTGTCCCATATTAGGTTAGAATGACCGTCTAATACTTCCAAGTCTTTCGTGGTTGGTCTAAGTTTAATCGACTCATGAATTCAACTATTAGATTCATATTTCTTATTTATTCAATAACATAACAAATGAAAATCCACTTTATAATTGAATCAAAACAGACACAAACACACACACACACACATAAAAGGTTTTTTCTTTTACAATAAATAAATACTTTACCGGATTTGTTTACAACATGCCGGTTCACCAGAAGAATCTTTACAGCAATATGTTGAATATAAGAATGTATCACCAACATCACAGTTTACATCATCTAAATATTATAATGAACATATTGAATAGATATTGATTAGTGATTATATCAGTTATTTAAATCTTCTTATTAACGTTATGGATGTAGCAGTAAATAAATACCCAAAATCAATAACTCGGTCAGTCTTCGACATTGGATACTGACGACATTCGTTGCAATGGACTTATCTAGTTAAAGGCGGTAGGGTCATGGATCCGCACCAAATCATGAATGTGAACGTCGTGCTCAACATCCCCGACAATTGCTAACCAGTTTAGATCAATCGATTCTTGGTATATTAATAGCTTATCAAATATATCTTCAAACGTCTTCGCTTCTGACTTTTGATTTTAGTTGGTGGGTACAATTCAAAGTAGAAGGTGTTGCTGGTTAAAGTGTTGTCAAAATCGAAATACCTGTGACATTTTCATAGATTGTAAATGATCCTTCATTTTTTAAATATGTGCCCTCTAAGTGATTACCCCAATGTTCAAGTGGTTCAGATTCTTGTGGACGGAAGAGAAGAGGCTTTCGTTTAACGGGCTTCTGTGTCTAGTAGCAATGGATCATCAATACCTCCAGGTAGAAACTCGAGGCATACCCATGTTAAAATTTAGTCACAAAAATTATTCAGTCAGTCATCTTCAACGTAGGACCAGGCACACATATGCATCGGTCCAAGTTGCCACGCTTCATCAACACAGCAAGATGAACACCGGATTCATAGAAGTAGTTAATTCAATGGTGATAATATATAAAAGAAAGATTGCATATAAGGATATAGTACAGAAAGAAAGAATTAGTACGTAGAAAGATATAGAGAAATTTTAATCCCACGATTTAAGGGAAAACAGAAAGTGTATACAGCGATGCCATTGTGATCTATTCGAAGTCATTTCATCCATAGTCTCCAATCATTGGTTACGATAGTCACGTGAACCCCAAACAAATAGTCTGCATCTACCGACATGGCTCAGATTTGTTGCTACTCTTCAAATTTTATAGTTTCTTTAAATGCGAGCGCCTTGTTATATCCCTTGGAACGTTAACTCGTGTCTATCTTTTTAGATTATTTGACTCATTTGAGAATCTGTTCGCCGTATATGGTATTGATTGAAGAGTTTCTAAGTAGTAAATAGCTCGTGAATATCAAACAGGTCTAATCTAGGAAAAGAACTACGTGTTAACTGTCTTCATGACGTCAAACGTAAAGTAGAAGATAGTTATTTCAGTAAAGTTGTATTATATAATCCATAAATATTTAATAAATAATAACATTTCCACTCAGATATCTGGCAGTTCATAATGTCTGATTAAATTTTATTGTATTTTATCGTTTAACTACTTATGAGTAAGCAATTTTGATTATCTAAAAATATCTTCAAAATTCAATGGCCCTACTATCCATTATCTAAAGAAATCATATTTCTAAAATTTTATATTTTTAAATATTAAGAGAAGTACTTCATTGCTAGTCACTATCCCCCTTTGTTTGAAATGCATGTGAATTAAGGCAACATCGAGGCAACAAGCGGTGTATTCACATATAACAATAAGAGATTGATCATTTTCAGTCCTAAATATCAATGGGAAGATTCAAGTAAATAATATCAAGTGAATTTAAACTTCATCCGATTGTACAAGTAAGTGACTATCAGGACTCAGTAGCTAAGCGGATAACGCGATGGCGTTTGAAGTGAACGGTACTGAGTTTCGAGTCCCAGAGTGAACATTAAGTCTGGGACACAGGTACATCCGGTTGACGAGCCCCAAACTAGGACGAAACACTCTTCAAACTAGATTAAACTGTTAGCCACTATCCATCTTTGCTTATAATATATGTTAAACTGTTCCGTATCCCCTCAATCGCATGAAAATATCAAGAAAATGTTCTATGGTATATTATATGTTGGGATGAGCATTATTAAAAGGTTCTATTAGGTGGATTGCATGGTGCTTACTGTTCCAGACAATATATGTGTCATAAATATATCTCGAGTACTCCTTCGTTTCGTTAATCACTTGTAAATGCTTCGTATTTTCAAGATAACTTATAGAAAATATCTATCATAACTGGATCCAATGGACTTCCCATTGCTACACCATCAATTTGGCTGTAATATGGTGTTATTGAACTGGAATCTAACGTCTTTTATGTATACAAATACTAATTTTCAAGTTCTAGCACTGATAAAGCTTATCGATACCATCTAATGGTGATTACTGTGTGCCCTATTTCGCCGTCGCTGATTGTTATGTTGGAATCGCTTAGCTCTTATACTTGTAAGGCGAGGAACCACTTCAGTTCCTTCGATACGAAAATAAGAAAACAAAGACTGATATAAATGATGAGCGATTTCGACATAACAATCAGCGACGACCAGATATAACAAGTAGTGTTCAATCAAGAAGATCATCATTGAAAACCTGGAATCACTGAACTCCTGTTTCGTCCTAGCATGGGACTCTTCAGCAGTGCGCAATCACCATCCACAATGCACACTGCTGAGCAGTCCCATACTAGGACGAAGCGGCTGTCCAGTGATTCCAGGTTTTCAATAGTGGTTTAGCTTAGATCAACTCATGAATTCAACTATGAAAGTGAGGCTATTGTTTCCTAGTTTTTCCGAAGTTACAATATATAAACATGGTGATTAACTGATTTTCTAATTAACTTCAAATTTGATTTACGCCTCATTCAATAGTCCTCTTTGTGTGGTGGCCTTCAGCAGCGTGAATCAACGACTTCACTAGGGACCGACACAAGGATTCTCAGTTCTTGTGTATAAAGCTTAAGTTTTTGGACAGTTGAGTCATTGTTTACATCGTTAACTCTGAACAATTCACAATAATATTGATGGCTGTCTCACATATGTTATTGTTGGATTAAGTTCACCACGGTTTTCTCACTAGGGTTCGAAGATGTGTCCTCAAAAATCGGTTACTAGTAAAAACATAGTGCTGTAAACTACAAAAATTAACCATGTGCACGAGTTCCTTACACCAATAGTTTTATATCCATTTGCAGAGATCTACATGTGGGATTTAAACATATACTTTCACTATAAACAACCTTCCTGGGTACAAGAAAGTTACCATAGGCAATATCATGAATTATAAGCAAAGATGGATATTGGCTAATAGTGGAATCCAGAACACGCGTTTCGTTTTATTTGGGACTCGTCAGTTGGATGCACCTGCATCTCAGAGTTGATGTTCACTCTGGGACTCGAAACCCAGTACCGTTCGCTTCGAACGCCATCGCGTTATCCACTTAGCTACTTAGTCCTGATAGCCACTTGCTTGTGCAATCAATCATGAGTTGATTGAAGTCAGACACGTAGAACAATGGGTGTTAGTCAAGTTGCTTGAAGGTTACTTGTTAGCCATGCGACCCGCAGTTCTTAAGTTCGACCCCCGGTAGGATCGTGGAGGTATAACACTGAGGAAAAAGACATGTACGTGGGGTTTCATAGTTTTCAGTGATGGTCAAGCTAAGATCAATTAGTGATTGAAGTTGTGAAGATGAAAGTTCTAAAAAGAAGCAAAGTTGACTAATAATAAAGATGACCTACTTTAACAATATGCACTTAAACACAATTGTTTGAACATGTAAGCGAAAAAGTTTAGCTAACGCATAGAAGATCGTTAATGAAAACACTACGAGCTCTAAATCTTCAAACCACTGAGTTATATATGTGTACTGCAGAGAAATGACTGATCTTCTCGGTCTTACACATTGTCCGGACGTTCCATATACCTATAAAAATTGTTGCTCTGGTTGTTAGAAGGGGTATCGGCCCCGTGACTTCCGAAGAAACTCGGCATCATAACTCTTCTAAATGAAGACCTTCTAAATCCTAGAGCAGAGTTTAGATGGTTTGAATTATTCTTGCTGGTTATTGTTTCTTTAGCGAGTTAGTATCCTATGGGATGGGGTCGCTAACCCCATCCTAACCGTCCTCCTTTACCCGGGTTTGGAACCGGCAATAACTCGAGAACAGCTACATGCGGAGTAACTGCAAAGAAATCCCATACTCAGATAGGACAGAAGTTCAGTGAATCATAATTTTCAAAAGTTCTTTAAATAAGATAGGGTAGTGATATAAAACAATATAAATCAATTTATCAGTATCCAGTTGTGAAGAATATTAAGTTTTTGATTGAGATCATGAATTGATCAATGATAGACCACCATTAGAAAGTTATTTCGTCCTATTACAGGACTCACCAGCCATACGCATCCACGATTTCACACCAAAAAGAGACTCGAACATAGGACCTTCGGACTCGCACACGAACACTTAACCCCTAAATCATTGAACCGGAATCTAGTGTTGTTAATGTCTAACTTAGATAATTAACAATTTTCAATCATTCAAATGATTTTCATTTAAAGAAACTAGAGAAAATCAATTTTAGGAAGATGAATTTAGTTCATTCATTCAATTGATCTCAAATCTTAGGTCATTGAATAATCAATCATTATCATTTTATTGATTGAGATCATAAACCGATCTAAGTTACACCATCATTGGAAACCTGGAAGCATTAGACGGCGGTATCGTTTTATTGTGATGATCTAACATTAATCAGTTCATGATCTTAATCAATAATTTAATCATTACCAACAACCTTATACTGATACTTATCATTTTGTAATAATAAGAAATAGAGTTTATAATATTGATTTATAGAGAATGTGAATGTTACGTAATAATAATTTCATATCAACTTTGTTGATTATGAGAAAATATTGGATAATGTGAATAAGAGAATATTATGGAAAGTTCTTTGATACTATGGTATACTTGAGAAGATTGTCAACATCATACGGAATTCATGTGACGGACTATATTGTAAAGTGGTACATGGAGAACAGTTGACAGGTGCATTCCATGTGAGGACTGGAGTCAGATAATGCTGTCTACTCTCCCCCTTTCTGTTTCTTCTGGTGGTTGACTAGATTATAAAAACCTCGACATCTGACGGAAAGCACGGGATACAACGGACAGCTCGGA